GGGACCACCATGAATGGGGACCACCCAAGTGTCCCATGGCCAGACCTCCTCATTGGGGACCACCATGAATGGGGATCACACAAGCGTCCCATTGCCAGACCTCCTCATTGGGGACCACCATGAGTGGAGGACCACCTAAGTGTCCCATGTCCACTGGGTACACAGCTATGAGCAGGGACTTCCCAACCACCCCATGGCCAGGCCACCCTGCTGAGGACACCCTCATGCCCATGATCAGGGACCACCAGTGGCCACTATCYCCAATGGCCAACACCACTGGGGAGCACCCAACTGTCCTATGACCACATCTCATGGGACAGGCAGCCATGAGTGGGGACCACCCAACTCTTCCATGATCATCTCTCCCCATCAGACACATTGCCATGAGTGAGCACCACCCAAGCGTCCCATGGGCAGACCTCCTCATTGGGGACCACCATGAGTGAGGACCACCCAAGTGTCCCATGGCCAGACCTCCTCATTGGGGACCACCATGAGTGAGGACCACTCAAGTGTCCCATGGCCAGATCTCCTCATTGGAGACCACCATGAGTGAGGACCACGCAAGTGTCCCACGGCCAGACCTCCTCATTGGGGACCACCATGAATGGAGACCCTCAAACCAAGCCACTGCGCTGAGAACAGGGCCACAAGTGGAGGCCACCCAACCACCCCACGGCCAGGTTTCCAGCCTGGACCACGCGGTCCTGGGGCCAGGCCACCTYGCTGGGGACCCCGGCACAAGCGGGGCCCCGCGCGGGTGGCAGCGCCGCCCCCGCGCCGCTCACCGATGGCGTCCTTGAGGTATTTCTGGCCGATGAGCTTCAGGTACTCCTCTATGGCTTTCGTGGCGAGGGTGTTCTCCCGGAAGATCAGGTGCTCCCGGTCCATGAACCGATCCACCTCCGTCATGGCCATGTCCGACAGGAAATCCTGCCCGCCGGCCGTCAGCCCTGCGGCCTTCACCCCTCCTCCACGCACCTCCTCTCCACCCATCCTTCCTTCCGCCTTCCACCTATTGGTGTCCTTCATCCACCCATCCATCCATCCATCCATCCATCCATCCATCCATCCATCTTCATCAATCTCCATCCTCTGCCCTTCCATCTCTAGCCTTCATCCATCTCCATCCATCCATCATCTGACCATTTCCATTCTCTGCCTCTCCACTTCTATCCTCCATCCATCCATCCATCCATCCATCCATCCATCCTCCACCTTCCACCTCCATCTCAATCAATCCTTCCATCTCCCTCCATCTCCATCCATCTTTCTATCTCCATGTATCCATCTTCCATCTTCCCTTCCATCTCCATCCAACTCCACCCCCACTCATCCTTCCATCTCCATTCTCCATCTTTCTTTCTCCATCCATCCTCCATCCTTCCTTCCATCTCCATCCAACTCCAACCGTCCTTCCATCTCCATCCTCCATCTTTCCTTCTCCATCCATCCATCCTCCATCTTTCTTTCCATCTCCCTTCATCTCCAACCCTGCTTCCATCTCCATCCTCCATCTTTCCTTCTCCATCCATCCTCCATCTTACTTTCCATCTCCATCCAGCTCCAGTTCCATTGGCCCTTCCATCTCCATCCTCCATCTTTCCCTCTCCATCCTCCATCCATCCTCCACTTTCCTTCCATCTCCATCCAGTTCCACCCATTCATCCATCTCCATCCTCCATCTTTCCTTCCATCTCCATCCAGCTCCAACCACCCTTCCATCTCCATGCCTTTCCTTCTCCATCCATCCTTCTTCCATCTTCCCTTCTGCCTCCATTCTCCATTTTTCCTTCTCCATCCATCCATCCTCCATCTTCCCTTCCACCTTCCTCCATCTCCACCTCCAACCCTCCTTCCATCTCCATTCATCCGTCTTCCGTCTTCTCTTCCATCTCCATCCTCCATCTTTCTTCTCCATCCATCCATCCATCCATCCATCCTCCATCTCCCCTTCCATCTCCATCCAGCTCCAGCTCCATCCACCCTTCCACTCCATCCTCTGCTTTTCTTTCTCCATCCATCCATCCTCCATCTTTCCTTCCACCTCCATCCAGCTTCATCCATCCTTCCATCCCCATCCTCCATCTTTCTCTCTCCACCCATCCATCCTCCATCTTCCCTTCCATCTCCATTCATCTCCACCCACCTTTCCATCTCCACCCTCCATCTTTCCTTCTCCGTCCATCCATTCTCCATCTTTCCTTCCACTTCCATGCATCTCCAATCCTCCTTCCATCTCCATCCTCTTTCTTTCTCCATCCATCCATCCATCCATCCATCCATCATCCATCCATCCATCCATCCATCCATCCATCCTCCATCTTCCCTTCCATCTCCACCCATCCTTCCATCTCCATCCTCCATCTTTCCTTCTCCGTCCATCCATCCTCCATCTTTCCTTCTGCATCCATGCATCTCCAACCATCCTTCCCTCTCCATCCTCCATCTTTCCTTCTCCATCCATCCATCC